GCCTAAATAACTGTGCAGATGTAATTTGATAGGGAGCTTTAGAAAGACCAATCAGGAAAGTAACTCAGCAGATAAGGATACGCCAGAACACACTTGGAAGACAAAGAGGCAATCTTTTCGCTTCAAGGAGCCTGTCTTACTCAACAATTTGCAAAACTGATTTTGCCAAATCTAGGTGAGGGGATATGAAAAGAGAGGAGATGGCTCACTTGTTGGAAGCTGTCTAGAGCAGCATTTGTCAATCTTGGTTAGTTGAGTGGGCCACACAAGGGAGCTGCAAGATGGTCATAACCAAGATGGTATCCTGGAATGGGGTAGTTTTTGCTAACTCTGCTTGTGCCGCTAGAATTGGTGGGCTGTGCTGAGTGAACTCATGCAGCACTTTGGATACAGAGGGAGCACATGGCTCTTAAGTTGATGTTGTGTACAGTTGACTAAGGATGTTCTATATTGAGTAATTTACTAGTCGAGTAGTTGATAGGCATGTCTGTATTCCTCCTTTGAAATGTACAAGAGCCCCAACTGACCCCACGTTCTGAGCAGCGTTTCCCCAAAACCTGGGGTCAGATGGTGACTCCTCTGCTGACCCCGGCCTCTGCAAGTTTTGTTATGCCACTCTGGAACCCAGGATCAGTGGGGAAGGCCCCAACTGACCCAAGGCTCCATGTGATGCTTTCAAAGGGGCAGCACCGCACAGCTGATCCTGGGCTCAGCTGTGTGGCGCTGCCCCTTTGAAAATGCCGCTTTGGCGTTTTAAAGAAGGGCTGCACTGAGCTGATCCCGGGCTCCATGCAACCCCTCCCCCTTCTCCCCCGCGGCCTCTATCTGATAGAGGCAGCAAGGGGTGGGAGGAATCGACTAGTGCTTAGCATCCTTACAATCGGCACATACCTTATTACACATGCCCTTGCTTTACACAGAATCATAGAATACTAGGACTGGAAGGGACCTCGAGAGGTCCTCAAGTCCAGTCCCCTGCCCTCATGGCAGGACCAAATACTGTCTAAACCCATCCCTGATAGACATTTATCTAACCTACTCTTAAATATCTCCGGAGATGGAGATTCCACAACCTCCCTGGGCAATTTATTCCAGTGTTTGACTACCCTGACAGTTAGGATCTTTTTCCTAATGTCCAACCTAAACCTCCCTTGCTGCAGTTTAAGCCCATTGCTTCTTGTTCTATCCCCAGAGGCCAAGATGAACAAGTTTTCTCCCTCCTCTACCCTTTTAGATATCTGAAAACCGCTATCATGTCCCCCCTCAATCTTCTCTTTTCTAAACTAAACAAACCTAATTCCTTCAGCCTTCCTCACAGATCATGTTCTCTAGACCGTTAATCATTCTCGTTGCTCTTCTCTGGATCCTCTCCAATTTCTCCACATCTTTCTTGAAATGCGGTGCCCAGTACCGGACACAATACTCCAATTGAGGCCTAACCTGCGCAGAGTAGAGCGGAAGAATGACTTCTCGTGTCTTGCTCACAACATACCTGTTAATGCATCTCAGAATCATGTTTGCTTTCTTTGCAACAGCTTCACACTGCTGACTCATATTCAACTTGTGGTCCACTATAACCCCTAGGTTCCTTTCTGCCGTACTCCTTCCCAGACAGTCGCTTCCCATTCTGTATGTATGAAACTGATTGTTCCTTCCTAAGTGGAGCACTTTGCATTTGTCTTTATTAAACTTTATCCAGTTTACCTCAGACCATTTCTCCAATTTGTCCAGCTCATTTTGAATTATGACCCTATCCTGCAGATTAGTTGCAACCCCTCCCAACTTGGTATCATCTGCAAACTTAATAAGCGTACTTTCTATACCAATATCTAATTCGTTGATGAAGATATTGAACAGAGCCGGTCCCAAAACAGACCCCTGCGGAACCCCACTTGTTATGCCTTTCCAGCAGGACTGTGAACCATTAATAACTACTTTCTGAATAGTTATCCAGCCAGTTATGCACCCACCTTATAGTAGCCCCATCTAAGTTGTATTTACCTAGTTTATTGATAAGAATGTCATGTGAGACCGTATCAAACGCCTTACTAAAGTCTAGGTATACCACATCCACCGCTTCACCCTTAGCCACAAGACTCGTTATCCTATCAAAGAAAGCTATCAGATTGGTTTGACATGATTTGTTCTTTAAAAATCACCTTGCCACTTTCCAAGTATTTACAGATGATTTCCTTAATTACTTGCTCCATTATTTTCCCTGGCACAGAAGTTAAACTAACTGGTCTGTAGTTTCCTGAGTTGTTCCTATTTCCGTTTTTATAGATGTGCACTATATTTGCCCTTTTCCAGTCCTCTGGAATCTCTCCTGTCTCCCATGATTTTCCAAAGATGATAGCTAGAGGCTCAGATACCTCCTCTATCAGCTCCTTGAGTATTCTAGGATGCATTTCATCAGACCCTGGTGACTTGCAGGCATCTACATTTTCTAGGTGATTTTTAACTTGTTCTTTTTTTTATTTTACCTTCTAAAACTACCCCCTTCCCACTAGCATTCACTATGTTAGGTGTTCCTTCAGACTTCTCGGTGAAGACCAAAACAAAGAAGTCATTGAGCATCTCTGCCATTTCCAAGTTTCCTGTTACTGTTTCTCCCTCCTCACTGTCCATTGGGCCTACCTTCTCCTTGGTTTTCCTCTTGCTTCTAATGTACAGGCAGTCCCTGAGTTACGCGGATCCGACTTATGTCGGCTCCGCAGTTACGAACGGGGCTTTTCTCGCCCCGGAGGACGGGAGCAGCAGGACGCCCAGATGCGCCGCGGTCCGCCGCCCCCATTCTCTGGGGCGAGAAAAGCTGCTCCCCGTCTCCCTGGTCTGCAGGGAGATGGGGAGCAAAGCCTTAGTTCTAAATAAATAATTGCTTTAAGGTGTCTGGACACTGTCTTAACCACTGTTCTTGTAGGGAAGAGAGCTACAGAGTCTAAGCCTAAGTCAGACCTGCTGAGACAACTTCTAAGTAAAATATAAAGCAATACAACCAGTGCTAGGGAATTGCAGCTCAGGTTCCTAGTTTAAATCTGGAGAGCCATGTGATTCTACCTGAAGCCATGTGATGACTAGAGGCTCCAGTCCAGAATGGGGAATGCACTTAACAAGACCAAGAGATACCAGAAGTGCAGGACACTGATAAATGACATTTGGAGAATATTCTATATGTGTTCTTAGCAGAACAGAATGAATTACATTTTAATGGTTTGTTCAATAGTTCACTGTTTTTGTCACCTGTTTTCTGCTGATAAATACACACTTTGCCCATTATCTTCATGTGTTTGTAGTCCTCCACACCATAGCATTTTACCACCTCTAGAATATTTAAAAATAGAAATAGCAGTAATGCACATCTTCTCTCGGTTGCACTTTTAGGAGACATAGTACGATTAGTTTGTAAGGGGAGATAGTTTTGTTTGCATGTGTCTGTGTGGATGTGAAGAATTTATACAGGGAAAGCTAAATTACAGACATTACCTTTGCCTTTCTGCCTCATTCAGTAAGGTACTCAGTGTGTACATAACTTTAAGCATTAAAGGAATTTTATTAAAAATCACTGGGCAGCTTCATATGCTTCTAAGTATGCATTCTGCATACATTTGTCAGTGGTTTTCAACTAATATACCATCATGGATTAGATATAGCTGGGTGATGTGGGCCACATGCACACAATTTGTATACTGCCTATATGGCCCGGAGGATGTCATGGGCTGCAGCTATGTACTGGTTGGGTGATAAGTGGCCTATAGCATATGGGTTCAGAACCACTGGTTCTGTCCCTTTGGCATGCTGAAATTAATGTGGTGGGGCTTTTTGAAACACACACACACACACACACACACACACACACACACACGAAATATGCTGGATTGTCAGTCCTGTTTTTTATTCATTGCCCTGTTACAATGTCACACCCGTGCCCTGAAGGGGCACCTTTAATAATGAGAGGATAGTTTTGGGGTGGAGAATCGCAGTGTGGATGGCTTGGGCCCCCAGTGCAATACAGACTAGACATTGGTAACCATCTCATAGCGTACAGGCCATCAGATGGCAATTATTTTCCTTCTCCAGCTCATCTGAAGAAGCGTGTTTTGCCCATGAAAGTTCATGATACTATATATAGAACGTTCATGGGCAAAACCCATATATATATATATATATATATATTTGTTAGTCTCTAAGGTGCCATAGGACTATTTGTTTTTAAAGTTACAGATCAACACAGCTACCCCTCTGAGACAATCGAGACTAGGGTTGACTTGCTTATGTCAGGGTAAATTGTCTACTTAAAAATCACACTTCTGTCTGCAGTATCCCCGCTTACTGTTTTACAAGTCACAATAAATAGATTTCTGTCACTCAAAGAAATCATAGAATGTTGGCTTTATTTTTAGTTGGCTTACTCAGGATGTATTTTGCCCAACTTGATGGTTCCTAAATCTTCTACTTATCTCTTCATTCTAGGCTTGTCTTTTATCAAGTATATCATCATTTTCCACCCAAGCAGTAGTAGTACTAATGGCCAAGGACTTCTGTATTAACTGGAAGCATTGAAGTGCGAATTAAACTTCTGTGCCCTTATCTCCAGTTGCCTTACTGAGAAGATGCAGGCAATTGTCATCGTGTTGCTTTTTGGAGCCAAATGTACAAGATTCACAAATCCAGGCTTTGTGCATCAGCCTACTCTGATGTCAACTGAATTGTACTGAGTTGCTTGAATTTTAAAGATAGACCATATTATATATTTTTATTTCAAAAATGTAATGCACCGGTGGTCTTTGTTTTATGTAAGGGTGGATCCCAATGCAGGTAATGTTTGTAAGTGATTTGGAACCTTGATAGCCTGCTCCAAAAGAGCTGTTTCTTTAGTTTAGTAATACTGCTTTAAGCACAGAGCAGGCATAGTGATTATCATGAAAGCATATTAAATCAGGAGGACATTATGTACTGAGGAAATATTAGATGTGTAATCATTTGTAATCTTAATGTTCTAGAACCCTGGGATTATTAGTAAAACGACTAGAGAAAGGTGGAAAAGCTGAACAAGAAAACCTTTTTCATGAGAATGATTGTATTGTCAGGATTAACGATGGAGACCTTCGGAATAGGAGATTTGAACAGTAAGTGCATTTAGTGTACAGCTTTTTGCTTTTTAAACCTTCAACCACTGCATATTGCAGTAATTTGTGGAAATAAAACATTTTCTCTTTATTACAGAGTGAAGAAATAGTCTGCAGTTTTAGAATATATATATTTTTAATGAGTCAAGATACAAAATTACTGTTGACTGCCATTAGAATTTATTATGTGACTTTTCAATAGTCTGATAAATTATGCCTTGTTTCTTAAACATTGAGGGTCCATTTTTTTCTTCCTGATGGTAAACTGAACTTGGTTTTATTTTGAAATGTCAGTCATGGTTCTGGTTTTTATACATTTACAATACTTCATGCTACACATATAAGGGCAACAAGTATTTTTATGTGTGTGAAATCTAAAGATGCTGTAAACAGAGTAGATGAAGGTTCCCTGGAATATGTATTTTGGCAAATACATGACCACAGTTTTGTGAGAAGTACATTTTCTTTCAATATGTAGTATAGTGTCAATTAAAGGAAAGATGTCTTAAGCTGACAGTTGTTCATTCATTACTATTTGTAATGAATTCGTTTCCATTAGTCTTAACCAGAAGTGGAACATCATTATGCAGAAGTATGGCTAAAAAAATCCCTGTCCTGGACAACTTGTGTTCTAAGGGAATGATCAAAAACCTGTTGACATCAATGAAAAGACAAGATTCTCATTGAACTGAGTGAGACTACTAATGCACAGAAAGTTAGATATTTGATTAAGTTTTTGCAAGACTGGTGCCTAAGAAGAGAAACTCACATACAAAGGGGTATATGCGTATACCTATATACCAGTTTATATTTTGACTTCCTATTATCTGCTGAACAATATATTTTCAAAAAAGGCTTTGAGGAGGGACTGGGTCACAGTCCTTGTCATCTGCTTCAGGGACATATGAATGGGAAAAGGGCAGAGAGAAATGTTGGAAGAAGTTGCAATAAAAACCATATTAGTTTCAAACATGACTGCAATTTTTGTTAGTCTCTAAGGTGCCACAGGACTACTCATTGTTTTCACTGCAATTATTGTATTTAAAGTTACTGATAATTATTTAATAAGCCTAAAAGAAAAATGATAAATCTTTAGAATTATTGTTAAAGTTGCCACTGCAATATGCAGTATATACTAAGTTTTAATATACATTTAACATATATTTACTTTGTAAGTATTTTTCAGCTGTACTGTGTGGCTCTACTGAAATAAACCTTAGCAAAAAGCAGCCATGGTAGACTAATGAACAAATTTAGATTTTTTTCATTTGTTTCAGCAGTATGTCATCTCATGTTGCTTAATTAACATCAGTAATTATGCTTGTAATATCTTGTAGTCTGCCAGTCTTAATTTGTTAATTTTGTATTCATTCTGAAACCTAGAGCACAGCATATGTTTCGTCAAGCCATGCGTTCGCCAATCATTTGGTTCCATGTGGTTCCTGCATCAAATAAAGAGCAGTATGAACAATTATCCCAAAGTGAGAAGAACATGTACTATTCCAACCGGTTTAGCCCTGATTCTCAGTATATCGACAACAAGAGTATTAACAATGCTGGACTTCACACATTACAAAGAATATCTAGAATGAGTAACCAGACAGATCAAACAGACTCTTACTCACAGCTACCTCATACTGTGAATTCATCAGGGAAACCACCATCTGGCCTGGCTCCATCACCTCAAAAAGTTCTTACCTCCAATGCTAACAGTGGTTATAACACCAAAAAGATAGGGAAGAGACTTAATATACAACTGAGAAAAGGTAAGGAGCATGCTTCTGAAATAGTTTATATTGTGTAATATATGTGCATTGCTCTCATGTTCTCACTGTACATGAAAGCTAATGTAGTATAAGCAATCTGTTGACTTGAGTTTGAGTATTATTCATGAATGATGAAGATGTGCAAATTAAGTGAGTTATTCCAAATAATAAAGCCATTATGCCATAGCATTCCATCATGCATTCTAAATATATACGGCATATATATTACAAAGTTATTTTTAAACATTTTAAAGCATACGAAATCATATTATTAGAAAGTCTTTTTTTGTACTTTCCAGACTATTAAAGCCAGCTGTCTTTGTTAGTATAAGTACTATTGAAACGAGTCTAATAGAAGAGGAAAATGTAATTTGTAAATATCTTTTAAAAGTCCAGAAATTACAGTATTCTGTATCTTAAAAACTTCATGACTTAAGTTTAATATCTCATCTCTGCCTTCAAGGAAAATAAGTGTTGCATAGCCAGCTGAAATTTTGAGAATTTCCTCTTTCTAATGGTATTAAGCTCTTGTTTCTTTCTTTGAAGGGCTGTGATATGTTCAGTCTAGAACACTGATATATTAAGCTATAATATACTAATGTAAATATATGACTGAGCCTTGGGATCCTCTAATTTGAGTTTGATGATAATCCAGTTTTGAAGGAAAGAAAATATTTTATTTGCTTGTGCTCCTGCATATGCTTATATGGTAATGTGTCCGGTGTGTGCATATATCTACCTAGGTGTGTGCATGTAGAGACACGAAGTGGGAGACATAATACCAAAAGAAAGTTAGTCCACTAAAATGTATTTTTTCACCTATGTTGTCTTTCACAAAATCCGGAACTGACAAGATTGCAACAACACTCTATTTTTAAAGAGAGGGGATTTATATAGCATTTACCACTGGAAAGTCAGCATTTGCGAAGTTACCACTCAGTTATTTCTGAGATTCTACAGTTATTTCATTAAACTGTTGTGTGTCAGATGCCACTATGTAGTAACTCTTGGCAAATTATGACTTTCTAATGATGATGCAAGCCACAGTCTTTGGGGTTAAAGCAAGCGAGTTCAAGTATAAAAAAATGGCATTGGAAATTATATAGCAAACAACCCACCACTATGACAGAATATACTGTTTCTACTCATTCTGTTTTATGTTGCCTTCATGTAAAAAGTTATTTGTTTATCATTATATTTTTGTTACTTAATAAGAATAATTTTCTTTAAAGGAGCTAAAGACAGAGTATATTGAAGTATAGAGATTTACTGTGGCTTCATAAATACAGGATAGCAATTTTCATTCTAAATGTGCACCGTCTTTTTTGTGAACTTCGCATGAACTACCAGATTGCTTGTTTCTAGTTACTGAATTTTAAGCTCTACAAACTTGGATGACATAAGGCTGAATTGACAGTTTGCTTCTGTTGTTGATGCTCCTTCAGAAATACTTAAGGCCATCAGCTTAGACAACTTGGTTGGAAAAACGTTATTGGCTGAGTAAGGAATCACTGTACTTACAAAATATGCCCCCAGACATTACACTGATTTCACCAATTTTTCCTCTTTAATGGAATGGATAAATAGGAAGCCTATGAAAGTATCACTGGGGCATACTATGCAACATCTAATTTTCTCAGCTAGGGGTGAAAATACGTATTTTTCACATAACTTGTAAACATCAACAGTAATTATAATGAATTACATGAATGTTGGCTGGAGGAAATAATTATTTTGTCACAAATCAATCTTGATGTCAAAGTTGCTGAAACTGCGGTATGCAGCTCACTTCCTGGTACCCTGAAGAGAGGGCATACTATGCAACATCTAATTTTCTCAGCTAGGGGTGAAAATACGTATTTTTCACATAACTTGTAAACATCAACAGTAATTATAATGAATTACATGAATGTTGGCTGGAGGAAATAATTATTTTGTCACAAATCAATCTTGATGTCAAAGTTGCTGAAACTGCGGTATGCAGCTCACTTCCTGGTACCCTGAAGAGAAACCCACACTCCCAAAAATTTATGAATACTATATTAGGTACAAGGAGAAATAGAGTAAATCTTTTCCTAATATAATTTAGTCATTTAAGCAGCTGCTATAGATGCTGAGATCATGAATGGGAGGGAGAGGTGGATGACGAGATGAGAAAGGGTAGGTGCCACTAGGCAACCTGTCTAAGAACACGATCCATGCTATTAAAATGTTTTCTTTGGCCACCCCTTCTTTCCACCTCCCTCCTTTCTAAGGAATCCTGTTTAATGCATTTTCAGAAAAAATCAGTTTTATTTCTAACAAATTGTTTTTAGAAGAGAAATTTATAAGATTGTCTTATAAAGACAGTATGAATCAAATTGTAAGCACAGTAATTTAGCATGCTTCATTTTAGGCATGTTAACCTACTATAGAATGCATGCATACTGAAAGGATTCCTCATTATTAATTCGTCAATATCCACTGTAGATGGATGCTGCTTCTTCCCATCTTGATTTTCGTTTGACTAGTTTGAAAACGCAAATGTAGAGCAACAAATGTAGCAAAGTGCTTAAGTGTACCCCCAAGTAGTTTATTATGAATATGAGTGAAGTAGGGACATTGATTGTCTCTGATTATTTCTAATGAAGGATGTTGTAGTAAGAGGTTTTATAGAAATCTAACAAATGCATGTTCTTTGCTGCTAACAGACAGCTGTTATTTAACCAATTAATGTTGTTAGATTAAAAAATTCCTTATGGAGTGTGCATTAACACTTACACATATGTAAGGCTTTTTCTTGAAATTCACTTCTGATTTCATGAATGTAGTCTGGGTGATGATTAGAATGGGTGAATTGACTTTTTAACATACAGAGACCTTTATTAAAACTGTGTTTTTACACATTGTGTGAGCTGTGTCAAATAAAATGACATACTAGGACCTGTAGTACTTGCCTCCATAATTATGATTTCTTAATATTTATTGCCATTTTGGCATTTTCAAATAACCTGATATTTCATAGGCATTAGCTGCTTAATAAAGTCAGAAGAGAAGGTCAGTAATATGTTTCAGTCAATGCAGAATGTTTGTTGGCTTTTTTAAATGAAAATTGATATCTATTTATCTTTTCTTAAAGGTCAGGCCCTGAACTTTTAGCATACAGATATAGGGGTTATTGCTGTTATTCTAATACTATTGAGGTATTCATGGCAGTCACTCATCATAGTTTGTACAAGTTAAGACAACATGAGTAATGACAACTGGCTTCTATTTTTTATTTACCTTTTACAGTGTGTCATAATTTACAATAAACCTAACCGAGAAATAAAATACAGAAAATTCCCCCCACATGGCAAGTAAAGAGAATAACACCACTTACACAACATCCAAAATCAGGCCAAATTTTGGTCTCAAATACACCAGCAGAGACCCAAATTAACTCCTTTTGATAAAACTACTCTGGATTTAAGCTGAGAAAAATCTGGCCCGACAGTTATAAATAATGTACCAGCAAAAATGATGATTCCAGGAGTCTCATTCCTCATGTGTTCATTAGCTTATAACATTTAGTTCAGTAGTCCCTAAAGTATTTGAAGGACTGCTTTCAGTCAGGCTTCACTTCACTCAGATTTCAAATACATTAATCTGGAAACAACATGGAGTATTTCAAGACTGCGGTAGAGTAGAATGACTTCACATCACTGGAGGAAAATACCATTGTTTGTTAAATGTATTAACATTTACTGCATCGGTTCATTTTGGATTGAAATATTTGTGTAAATATAGTGTATATAATACTTATAATATTTAATAAAATGTTAAACAGAAAATCTTCTACGTAACTGGACATGGAGATGGCAATAAACTCTTCAGTATTAGTTTCCCAAGCTGTTTATGAATTAAGCATGTAAAGACAGTCTTTCAGAAAATAAAAACAATTAGCCAGAAGTCAGAGGTTCTGTAATTTTATTATGATATTATAGCAAAAATGGAAATGCAGCTCATCTCATCTATTTTATCTGATAGGTTTGGCCAAGTAATTTGTTACATTTTCTAGTATGAATTGCACAAGTTTACATTTTTTTGCTTTGGGGCCATATCCTGAAGCCCATTCTAGCATGGATTTTAATCTGTCTTTACTCATGCAAAATTCCATTGCACACTAGATAAGGAGAAAAGTAAAGATTTCAGACTGTGACCCTGAATTAGTTACAGCATGTGGAGCTTGCACCTGATATGATTAAAGTGTAAAGTCTGCTAACCATTTTTCATGATAACTTCCTGTTTTCACAGATACTTTTCTGCGATAGTCACCTTTTGGGCTGAAGTTGTCCATGCCAGGAGTAATGTTTTCAAAAGTGATTTAGGATACTATGTCCTATAAAATGTTTTACCTCAAATGTGAGGTGAAAGTGAAAGGAAATTACTTCAGCCATTTTTGAGTTACTGGGGAGAGGTGTTGCCAACACCATTTTCCACTAGTCAGGAAAGCAAGTGTGACCATTGCTTTTAATAGAGATGCAGTGAATATGTCTGAACTTTAAAACTGGAATGATCATAGAACTTATTTAGAAGAGTATTCTTTGGTAAGGGGGGAGTGATGCTTGAGATCATTTTGTGCATGAAGTTATTCTAATTGTGCATGCACAGTTCTGTAAATAAACACTTCTTGGAGAACATCTAAAATTGTTTTGATTGTCTTAATGAAACTTATTTTTGTGGCATTGCAACATAAATTCACCTTGCTTGGTTCTTCAAGTGTAGTATAGACTTAACAAATCACACTTGACAATATAGAATGCTCATGACTGATGAAATAACTAACCCATCTATCCTGAAAATGGTTTCAAAGAGGAGAAATACCATGGACATGAAGAAGCCCATTTCTCTACGTTGCATGCTGTAATCGTTGCCATACAATGTGTGGCACTTGATTTTTTTTTTTTAAGAATGTCCCCATATGTTTTATGTGTTTAAGAACTGGACTTGCAGTTGATTTCCCCCAGCTATTTGCCTCTTTGTCCTATTAGCCTTAATATTTAGGGAGTGGCAGATTGTATTCTGGTCAGATCTAATATTGCAGACTGTCCTAGTACAACCCACTACCCCCAAGAGAAGTCCATTCTCTGTCTATGGCACAGATGGAACAAGATAGGCTTGCAGGCCGGATTTGGCCCACCAAGCTGTATGATTTGGCCTGCCCTGCTGCACTCCCTCCTCCAGGCTAATTGAGACTTGAGGGTGGGGAGTGCATGAAGTCATTCGCTGTTCAAAGCAGCTGGCGGCTCCCATGAGGCCTTATAGCTTATGACTGTGTGTGCTCAGGTTTGTACAAATTGCCCCAATGCAGAGGAAGCTGGATTTGCCAGAAGAGTTCCATCACTGATGTTGCCAAGCGGCTTTTTTTACTGGCTACAGATACTGTGTGCTTATTGTGGTTCACATACAATATGAGGATAAGAGTAGATGCCTCATTGCCCTTACAGATTATGCGAGGGGTGGGGGCGTCAAATACACTCATTTTAAATTCTAGCTCCTCCTGTTTCCTCTGAGACTTCTGGACTGTGGCTATACATGCAGCAGGACTCCTTCCCCCCACTTCATTTAGCACAGTTGTTCATCCAATTTCCGGCAGGAAGTGGGAAAGGGCAGACACCTACTGAGAGAGAGCAAGGCCTCCTCAGTAGTGTCTTGTGTCCGGGCAATACTTTCTCCCACAATGGCACACTGGTATCTGACATAGGCCATGGAGACCACACTTTTTTCATACCAGACAACCTTAAAGAGACTGGCACATGACACTACGGATACTGCTTACCACCAGGGGGCTGATCCTAGGAAAAATGGAAAGTTAACCCCTACTTCATAGGGAGGCAACAAAAACTTAGTAGCATACCAAGCAGGTTTCTGCCATTCTTATACCAACTTTCCAGGTCATAGTAAAGGCTAATCCATGTTCAGAAAGGGATTTTTATTACAGTATATATTCAGTCATACAGTATATGTAATTATTCATTTTTTCCCCTTTGAATTTTATTAGCTCCCCTCCTCCCAGTAAACAAACTCCCAGAGAAACAGAAAGTTGACGCTGCTGTTGCCTGTTTCAGTTGAGAATGCTGCTTGGAGCAATTATTCGTGACTAACATACTTGTCCAATTAATGGCCCTCTTTGAATTTATCATTGATCTTGCTGCTTGTCATCCCATGGGTAACTTGACTCTAGAATGCTTATTCAGCATCGTACATGAGATAGAAAGGAAGCTCCAGCTTGTCAAGAAAGCTGCTGATGTTATCAAGAGAAGCTTGAGAATTTGAATTACACAAATCAGTAGGGTAATTTCTAAATGCCTCATTAATTTCAGTATCATTAAGTTTAATTTGATCATATTTGGAGACAGCAGCTACAGAGGGAGACACAGATTCTGCCCTCATTTAGTAACTTATCCATGTCCTGACTTTGTCTTTAGAATCCTATAAATGATTAGCTTGAAGCTTGCAAAGCTTAACTTAAATGGAAGATTATCAGGTATATATTCTAAGGGTCAGTCCCAACTGTCCTTGATGCAACCTCTTAAAAAAATGAGGTTGAGGGTCAGTGGGTGTGAGAATCAAAATGGCTTGTGCTGACAATAAGGGGGCTAATAAGTCAAGAGAATGTGTTGTATATTTTCTTCTTCAGCTCCCTTCCCATTCTCACTCTGTGTTTTATCTGTGTGTCCATTTTTGTTATTCCTTTGAAAGTAGCTACTGCGCGCTTTTTTTTAAAAAATAAACTTTTCAGAGGTACCACTGGAGTCAACCATATATTTGCACAGTTCCTTCATAAATAATACTATGATGAACAATTTTACTCCCTAAGAACTAAATATGTTTAGTATCTTTCAGCAGCAGGAGGGGTATTGATTCTCCCAGGTCACCTAAGTAATTCACATTTCTGCTGAGACATATGTAGCATGGATAACTGAACCAATTATATTGGCACAGGGGAAAAATAGGCATAAAATCTGGGGCTGCTGTTGCTGCTGGCTCCAGGCCCCAGTGTGAGGGTTACAGCTGATGCTGGCTATGACCTCAATGTGAAGGCTACAAGTTCTACTGTTTGCTCCCAGCCCCAGTGCTAGGGCAGCAGGCTGCGGGCGGGTGCTGCTCCTAAGCAGCAATTACCCATTACTCGGTAAGCATCACTCAGTTGCCCATTCATATCCCTAAGCTCGACAGCATTGAAGGCTTAGACAGTATCACTAACTTTTTTAGAGGTATCACCATATGTGTTGAACACAATGTGAAATAGCATGGAACCCTGTGGTAGCCCACATGAGAGAGGCTTCAGGGTGAATGAACAATTGATAATACATTGTGAGGCCTCACCAAGTGGAAAGAATGGAAGCACTGAACTGTGATTCCATCCATCACTGCCAGAGACCATAGATGAGTTGACAAAACCTCCTGGTCAAGAGTATCAGACTGCTGACATTGCTAAAAGAGTCATTGTAGAAGGAAAGTAGATTATTGACCAGTAAAATCAGTGAACTCTTTGTACTAAATCAAGGACAAAATCCAGACTGACAAGGAAGAAAGAAGTGAAGTGATGCCATATCTGCTTTGTCCTACTTTCATCTCATTTATCTTAATCAAAAGTGGAAGGTTGGAGATATGACAATGAGCAGAATATTTCCAGTAGAAAGGTTTTGGGATTAAGAACTCAATAATCATTTGTGCCAGAATATTGGGGCCCTATGTTTCAAATTTGTTATTTCCAGGAATTATGTTTTTGTACATTTCTACGAAGCATTGTTGTATAATATTTTGTACAAGGCTTTTGTGTATAATTACCGCAAACAAAAAATATTGGCAACAGATAAACTTGTTTTGCTTGGTAGACTCAGTAGGGACTATAATTAAATGAATGTCCACATCTCAGACAAACGATCATGCTTTATATTATTTATGCAGGTACAGAAGGCTTGGGATTTAGCATCACTTCAAGAGATGTGCCAATTGGTGGCTCAGCTCCAATTTATGTGAAAAACATCCTTCCAAGAGGTGCAGCTATTCAAGATGGGAGATTAAAGGCTGGAGACCGACTTATTGAGGTGATGATACCTTGTATGCTATTAATTGTAGTTCAAAAGGCATTCTCTGTATTTTTTGTCATAAATTAGTGTATTAGTTTATTTCCAATATGATTTAAATTATTTTATCCCAGGAAATTACTTGTCCCATTTTTTGCCTTCTCAGTGTAACAAATTTAGGGCTGTATAATTGCAACAAGGCACATAATTAAAAGAAGGGGACCCAGCCATGTTAAGAGTAATGATTTTACAAAACTAATTTCTTTGTGTAAAATCATAGAATCCTAGGACTGGATCGGACTTGAGAGGTCCTGTAGTTTAGTATCCTGCACGCATAGCAAGACTTAAGTATTTTCTGGATTATCCTTGTCAGATGTTTGTCTAACCTGTTAAAAAGTTCCAATGATGGAGATCCCACAACCTCTATAAGCAGACTGTCCAGTGATTAACCACCATGACAGTTAGGAAGTTTTTCCAAATGTCCAATCTAATTTACCTTTGCAGCAATGTAAGCCTATAGCTTCTTGTCCTATACTCAGAAACTAAAGAGAACAATATTTCTCCCTCCACCTTATAACAATATTTTCTGTAGTTAAATCACTATTATTACTTTACATAATTAAGAAAAAAATTGTTCTTTTAAAATATAGTATATTTTTCATGTTTATTTTTTCTACTGGCAAAACGCCATAGTGTTGGGTCTCAGACATTGCAAGGGATTGTTTATATGTTCAAGAGAAGAACAATTCTGATAAAAGTTGGCTTTCTCAACTGATGGGAATGGAAGTACAGTAAGTAGTTAAGTACTAGTAAAAGGTAAAATGTCATTTTGTAATTTGCACTGAGTATACTACACACCATGAAGGGAATTTAATTTTAGATTCATAGAACACTAGAACCTGAAGGGACGTCGAGAGATCATTGAGTTCAATCCACTGCCTTCATAGAAGGCCAAGCAAGGTTGTTTCTTATCCTATCATGAGAGGCCAAGGAGAACAATTTTTCTCCCTCCTCCTTGTACCACCTTTTAGATACTTGAAAACTGCTATCATGTCCCCTCCGAGTCTTTTCCTTTCTAAACTAAACAAGCCCAGTTCTTTCAGTCTTCCCTCATAGCTCATGTTCTCTAGACCTTTAATCATTTTTGTTGCTCTTCTTTGGACTTTCTCCAATTTTTCCACATCGTTCTTGAAAAGAAAGAGTAGAGCGGAAGAAAGACTTCTCGTTTCTTCCTCACAACACTTTTATTAATGCATCCAGAACCATGTTTGCTTTTTTGCAACAGTGTTACGTTGTTGAATCATATTTAGCTTATGGTCCACTATGACCCCTACATCCCTTTACGCAGTACTCCTTCCTAGACAATCACTTCCAATTCTGTATGAATGAAACATCAGCTCTGGCAATATCTGCAGTCTTCACAATCCTTTTGTCCTATTCAAACTGGGGTCAGACTTGGGGGCAGGTCCGTTAATTCACTAATGGCATTGTTCATCAGTGTCTCTCCAGCTGAGAACTAAGAGAACAGGTTCAAGCTGAACTGCCCAATTGCCTTGCAATTCAATGGAGCTGTTATGAAGCGATCTCTTTCTTTTTAATAGAAGAGCAGTCATGTGGCTTATCTAGACTACGCTAAAGTGTCAAAAAAGGATATGCAAATTCCTCAGTGGAGCTTTCAAAAGTGAAAGTAGTTTAGACATGGCTTTTTCAGCAAATCCCCCACCCTTTGTTGAAAAACCGCTTTTCCTCAAAAAATGAGGTTTACGTGTCTTTTCAACAAAGGGGGGGGAGGGTTGCTGAAAAAGCCGTGTTCATCTTGATTATTTTCACTTTTGAAAGCTCCACTTTCGAAAGTGAGATCGGAAGTGGAATTTGCATATCCTCTTCCAACACACTAGCATAGTCTAAATGAGTCCTTAGAGTCCCAATTCTCTGGACAGGCATCTCTTTTTCTCCACCTCTGTTGACAGCATTGCCAGTAGTAGCCCGTAACCTCCATACATTCCCTGCCCATTCCCATACTTGGATCCACTATATGCATGCCTTATGAATTCAAAGGACTAGAGGGCATTGCCTACTTTTCTGTGTAAAACAATTTGTTTTCCCTCAAAGTTACTGGAAGGGGAATAAAATCAGTCTTGAAGACTTAACGCCTGTCTGTTGCTTTTTTCAGGTTTGTAAGGACTGCATTTATAATTAATGACAAAGGCTTCGAGAGCCTGCCATAAGTGTTCATTTATGGTTCCTAAAATACAAATGAATTAGAGGAAAAAAACCACAATTGAAGGAACAGTGAAGGCCAGAGAGACAATTTTAAGAAAAAGAGTTAAAAAAAAAAAAGAGCATCACAGGTAGAGCATCATTAGAGATGAGGAATAACAGAGTAAAAAGAGCAAATCAAAACATATATTTGTTGTGTGATAGAAAAGTCATATAAAAATAAACACCAGTTACCCTTTTGGATTTACCTACAAAATTCCCTGTTCTGCATCCTCCTTCCCATGCAGATGAGATCATTGTAGTGTCATATTGCTTCAAGCTGGAGATTCACATTCTGTCACTTTACGATGTTGAGCATAAGTAAGATGTTCTGGTGTCAGTCAGCTCAAGCCAATTTTTATTTTAAATATGGGTTCAGATTTGTCTCTGATGTAACTCCATTTCACTAACTCTATTAATTGCATTGGGGGATGGATTTTGGTTTAATACCTTTTATTTAGATTAATTGCCACTTGAATTACATATCTTCTTTCTCTCAGATTTCTTTTGTCATTTCTGCGCTTGATATCAGTGCATTTACCATTTGTCTGTTGCCAGCCGAGTACTTGTGACAAGGTGCTAGGAGCCTAGAACTGATGCTGCATTGTGGTCGCTAAGGCTGTGTCTACACTGCAGTGCCAGTTATTCCAAAATAACAAGGAGCAGGTCTACACTGCAAGCCATTATTTCAAAATAATGGCAAGCTGGAGGACCTCTTACTTCGACTCCTGCAACCCTCATTTCACGAGGAGTAAGGGAAGTTGAAAGAAGAGTATTCTTCCTTCAACTTCCTGCAACGTAGACCGCGCCAAAAGCCAAATTAAGCTATTTCGACTTAAGCTACGCAATTGACATAGCTCGAGTTGCGTAGCGTAATTCAACTTTTGCCTTTCAGTGTAGATGTGTCCTAAGAAACTAGCTATCCCCCTTCAGTGTGGGCTTAATTGACAAATGGGTGTTCAATGGCTTAATGGGGCTGATAAACTTGTGAATACAATCAACCTATCAGAGAGCAGCAGTTAAAGGAGAGGAAGGAAGTGCAAGGGGCGGGAATTGGCAGGGTTTTGGACAATGGTGCCCAAACTTTTTACATTGTGTCCTCCCTTTCCCATCAGGGTTTGGGCTGTAGTTAGGGCCAGGAATAAATGTTTTGGAGTGGAGCTGTGGTCGGGCCAGGCCCTGAGGCCAGGGCTGTAGCAGGAGGTTGGGTCTGAGACCAGAAGGAGAGCTGTGGGAGGGGCGAGGAGGGGATCATGGTTGGGCACAGAACTGCGCCTTGGGCTTGGAGCTAGGGCTAGAGCATAGTCAGGGCAGAGTGCGGTTAGCTGGCACTGACTCTACACCTTGCATGGGTTCTGGCCCTGAACTCTGCCATCCTCCACCCGCAGACATTCCTCTATTCCAATGTTCCTTAAACTGTGTTCCGCGAGGCAGTAGGAGGTTTGCCACAGAGAATAACAGAGTTCAAAATGACCACCCTCAAAGGGGCAGGCGAATTTTTTTGCTTAACAAAAAAAATCCTTGGTGTTCCTCATAAAAAAAATTGTTTAGTGTTCTTTGGTCTTAAAAAGTTAAAGAAACATTGCTCTATTCCATCCTAGAGGAATATGTTGTGCTGTATGGGAAACATTGGGCCATAGGATGTCAGACTGAGCAGATTTTTCACCTTCTGTCCCTGAGGGGGCTAAGGGAAAAGTTTGTATCCAATTGTATGTTGTTGCACAAGGCTGTACTGATGAAATGATGATGGAAGGGGCCCAATAACTAATGCTCTGGTACTTACGTATCTGAAAACAATTAGCCTGTTTGTGATGGCCCCAGGTGTGGGAACTCTTGTTACAGTGCCATATATCCATACTATAATTTTTCAAGACACACTGGTGAACCAAAGACTCTTTTCTCATTCACAGTATTTCCTTTCCTACATTCCCTTTATTGCTGTTCTTCCCCCTCCCCACCTCATACCCGTCATTCTTTCTTCCTTCCCCAGGCTCCCCTCAAAGTCATGGTTTCATCCTCTTGTTACTTTGGTCTTTTCTAAATCTGAGACTCACCTCCTTATACCTGCACAGCAGCTAAATAAAAATTCACAAGGTCTGTTACCAGTTTTAGTTTGCTGATCCACCAACCTATGGAAAAACCTAAGACCGTGAAACTGACCAGAATTTACATATTTCACATTTTAATGTGCTTTGTGAATGGCAAAATGAAGTCAAAGGTATCTCTTGTAACTTTCAAAGTGAAATTGATTCCTATTCCAAGCAAGAATATCAGGGAGGAGGTATGAAGCAAAGGCTGTAAGTATGCCTAACCAACAGGGTTTTGCGTTCCACCTTATATCATGTTTATTTGAGCTTTCTTCATTCTGTTTTAAAGGGACAGATAGCCCTGCGAGGATACAAAATTGTTGTCTGCAAAAATGAGGGCAGATATCCTTATTGACTTCTTTTGTGATCATCTTTTTCTCTTGTTTGTTAGAAGTCATCATTAGAAATATGAGACCAGAACAATAAATATTATGCATCTTTCTGTAGATTCCTTGTGCCTACTGATCTCGTTATCCAGTTCAATGGGAGTTTTGCTGAGAGTAAATGCAGAATACTTACGTTAATTCCTTCTAAATTTATAACAAAGATTGGCCTCCAAATTAATTGTGATGGGTTATAGCAATATTTTCTAATGCTGGAGTCTTAGAAGTCATATGTGTTTTATTTGTCGCAGGTAAATGGAGTTGATTTAACAGGCAAAACTCAGGAGGAAGCTGTCTCCCTGCTGAGAAGCACCAAGATGGGAGGGACTGTGAGCCTTTTGATTTTCCGTCAGGAAGAAACATTCCATCCAAGGGAACTGGTGCGTAAAACAGAACATCTAGGAGATTTTAGATTAATTTAAGCAAGAGGTCTGGTCCTGATATTGGCTAGTAAATTTGTATGATCAGAAACGAAGACAAAAAATCAGTTTTTGTTATTCTCTGGTCAAGTTAACTTTATATGAACATTTTTATTTTTATTTTTTTAGCTCTGGTCTTAGATTTGGATATTCACTATAATATGTGAATGGGAGTTTAAAAATCAGATTCTGGTGGTATTTTCAGTGACAGAATATTAATTATAATAAAGCAAAAATATTGCATGGACTTTACATTAATACATGAGAAAAGTGGATTTTGTCCATAACTTTTACACTCGTGAGTCTGTGTATGATAATTTGCCATTTGTCCTATCACTTGATCAAAAACATTTTAGAGGATTTAAAACTAAGCCAAAATGGAACCTACGAATGCTATGGTACCAAAAGAGGAATTTGCAAGCAAAAAAGGTTATTATTTTAATAGAAAGCATCCCCTGTGTTTTATGGAACCCCACCGTTATTAATTTAGCAAGGTAATTCAGAGAAAGTATTCTGAATAATTTGAGTGAAATGAAACAATCGTATATTACAACACCTGTTCGACTTGCAAAGTGTATACACATATTTCCCTGATTATTACCCAGGCTAACTTCTGTTATAAAAAAGTAGATTATGAATATAAACTGTATTATGTTCTATATTCAGAGTGCTGTAGTTTTAAATATATTGCTATAAAATAAATTGTGTGGCTGCATTCTCATAAATAGGCAGAGTAAGAGGAACTGCTCTCTTCTCTTTTGATGCTATGAACAATTTTTTTTCATTTCTACTGGATTTTTAGTATCTTGAGTGCAAAAATGATGAATTTTTATATTTTACCATTTTAAGGCATTTAATATCAGTCTTTGTCTTTCAAAAGAGCATTTAACCCTAAAAAACTGTAGTGGCTAAGAATGCTGCAAATAAAGCTACATTTGTTAACTTAATCCTTTTGGAATGCGAGTTCAGGTACTGCTATGTCATGCTTTATGAAAATTTTCCTTTAAAGACTGAATCAAATTGAATAGTATGGAAATTGAATCACACGCCTTTGAATGGCTGGAACTGTGGAAGCAGTCAGTTTATAAGCTTCTGTGATGTAATTTTCACAATATTGGTAACGGACAGTAAAGGCTAGAAATACTTTTGTGTGTGTTGTAAATAAACTCTTAGAAGAAAGAGCATAACATTATTTTGTGTATATATTATTCCTATATTGATTTTAATGTTATAAAGCATAATTAATAGTAATGCATATAAACTCCTGTAAAGATTATATTTCCTTGTATATAGAATAGCCTCGAAGTACATGTTAACCTTACTCTGTAATCAGTTTAATTTTAGTTTTAACTTTTATTGCATATTTTTTTACATCAGAAAGCGAATCAATCCTTTTAAATTAGTTGGGCCACAGCAGCCTCCCTGCAGCTGCTCATCTGATGCCAGTCCCTGTGCTATTTCGACCAAAGTCAGTATAGAAGAATCACATTGTTCACGGGAGGTGGTAGATGGAGAAATCTTTACTTGCCTACATAATCAGAGGTCTAGATCATAAGCTGGTGTAAATTGCTATCACTCTAGTAGAACTACAGCAAAATATGCTAGCTGAGATTCTAATCTAGTGTGTGATGAACCCTGATTGCTTAAAGATTTGTACATTCACACCCTGGCATGAGCAAATTCTAGTTCTGCTCTGCCGTCATCTGTCATAGGGCTTAATGAACAGCAGGAGAAGAAAGGTGGTGGGGGAGCTACTGAACTGAAACTTGTTCTGAAGTGGTGCTTTTCCCTCTGCTAGTGAGAAATAATAAAGGCAGTTTGTTTGAACACAATTCAATTTACAGACTTTTAACAGAACTTCACATAAAGATTTGTATGATGGGAAAGATTATCTAAATATATGTATGCGCATTTAATGATGAAAGTAATTTTTTTCATGTGGTCCAATTTGTCCTTTGTGTCCTTCCCACCTTCCCTCCATCTTTTCCACATTGCTTTACTTTTTCTTATAAAGAATGTTATAAGCATATTTAATGAGCAACATAGAAACAGAGTTTTTCTTACTATAAATACGCCATGAAACATTTACTTAATAATCATCCAGTGCATAAAGCAGTGGACTGGGAGTTGTCTGCTGACAGGAGCTCAATATTACAGCCATTTACACTTTAGCTACTCTTGTCAGAGTTCTTTAGATTTGATTTGGGAAGTCAGGAGTTGTGGGTTCTGCTTTCTGTATGACTTCTGACACATCACTTAGCCAAACTTTCCCTTATAAGAAAACTTACCTACGCCATGGGAGAGTTGTGACGCTTAATGTCTTTAGAGTGCGTTGAAATCGTTGGCTGGGAGGAACTATGGAAATACATAGTATTATTTATATATGGGTAATTAAGGGAATGTTTAAGCAAAGACTGTCTTGGTTTTCTATAAAATCTGTACAGTTTGTATTGTCATATGTGTGCATGAGAGAGAATAATCGTTCAGCTCCAGAAGCACTGAAACCTGCACTTGCATGATCAGGACACTCAGGCGAATAAACAAATGCAGGGGAGAGTTCCAAGGGTAGGTTGCTATTTTATTAATATTAACTGATGGGACAGGCAATCATGCCCTCCCCCAAAATAGCAGCCATTTTCTTGGGTCCATTGTCTTTTTAAATGGTGTCTTGCCACATAGAAAATCTGGGGTAACCCTTTAAATTCATGGTGTCCAATCAGTTTAATAGCCATTATAGTGGATATGCTATAGCAGAGTAGAACACACATAAGAACCCCCATACTGGATCAGATTGAAGGTCCATCTGGCCCATTATCCTGTCTTCGAACAGTGGCCAATGCCAGATGCCCAAGAGGGAGTGAACAGAAACAGGTAATCAAGTGATCTATCTCCTGTCATCCATTTCCAGCCCCTGACAAACAGAGGGTAGGGACACCATTCCTGCCTGTTTTGGCTAATAAGTATTGATTGACCTAACCTGCATGAATTTATCTAGTTCTTTCTTGCACTCTGTTAAAGTTCTGGTCTTCACAACCTCCTGTGGCAAGGAGTTTGACAGGTTGACTGAGTGTTGCGTGAAGAAAACCTTTTTTGTTTGTTTTAAACTAGCCGCATTCAAACTGCCAAATAGCCACATTGTTCAAGACAACTAGCCACACTCAACCGGCCAAATTGCCACATGTAGCTAGTGTGTTGGTCGCCACAGCTCTGAAGCCTAACCGACAGGACACAGAATCCTCATACACTGAATCCTCTTGCCATCCCCCATGAGAGGAATGAGGATGCCCTTTCTTCCCAGTCGTCAGAGGATACAAGTTGTATTATAGCTCTGAGAACATAGCTCTTTAGTTCAAGCTCCAGAGGCCTCAGTTTCAGTTAGATGCAGATTAAGGCTCCCGTTTGCCTTATGAAGTAGAAGCTCCACCTGCAAAATTTAAAATCTTTTGCTTATCTCTGACCCTTTTTTATTTTTTATCCTCATTGGACACTGGCTGCAAGTTGCAGCTGACTAGACATTGACATATTTCTCTGTGAAAGAACACACTCATTAAAGTTCTTTTCTTACTCCCAGTCCTTTATTTCCTCCTCTTCCCCCCCCCCCCAAAAAAAAAGGCTATCCTGTATGCTGCAAAGAAGCCAGGATATATCAAATAAGCCATCTTGACATTTTTTACTAGAGGGGGAAAAGTCCTGGCAAAGCTGTCCATTTGGCTAGACCCACAGGATGAAATACAGCTCAGTGATACCTGAACCAGAGAAAGGGAAGGCTGGGTGGCAATAGTGGCAAGATAGCCACTAGATGTCTGCGTGGGCCTGAGCCTGAGAGAGCCAGTCGGTTTCATCTCCAAACTGGCCAGTATGAGGAAGAATAATTTTCCCAAGGCACATATCCACATGCACACTTAGACTTAAGGAGAAGCATGGGGGGAGGAGAGGAGGAGCCACATCTCCCCTGAGAGAGGTGTGGGGCATTTTGAAAGCAGATTTATTTGAAAATGTTTGCATAAGATTGTCCTGTTCTGTGCCATGTGAAGTGGCCTTAATTCAGCAAGGGATGGCCAGTGGAGAATTCCCCCAAGTAGGAGAAATGTCCTTTGGCATACAGATAGTGTGGACGGCTGGGCTTCCTGCACTGCCAACCATACCCTTATCACTTTGGGCAGAAATTGAGAGTACATAGGGGGTGTGAATGTGGCTATGTTCTGAGGTCAGGTGCAGTGGAATAAGTTTTGTTAGAGCTGTACCTATAGACTTCTTACTGTGCACTGGTGTTGGGTAGCTGGGGATCCAGGAGTACAGCCAGCTGCCTACAGTTTCCAGTGGCCTCTTTGTGCCATAATTGAAACCCTTTTCCTATGATTGCCTTATGTAGCCATGTTCTTATTTTCTTTTTGTTTTACTTCCTTTAGAATGCAGAACAAAGCCAGTCACAAATTCCAAAGGAAACGGTAAGAGCTTTGTCTTTTACATCTCAGAAGACTCCCAAAATATTAAAATATATATGGAACTTTTCCATATCAATTAAAGTTGTATAGACCCTCTTTTCACATTATATACTGTAGATGGCTCTCTCTAGCTTTACATTTTAAACTTCTTTTTATTATGTAATTTGCAATACTATTTGAAAGTCTCCTGGTCAGCAGGCAGAATGGGTAACCATTCAATACTTTAGTCAGATATTTTAAAGAATCATTGTTGAAAAACAAACAAGTAAATACCAAAAAAAAAATTTAGTTAGATTGTTTTGTATCTCTATCTCAAGCCATTGTTTGTTTCAAGTGATTTTCAAGGAACTGTGTTGTGAGTTCAGGAAGCAGCAAGATTTAGAAGGTTTGGATCGAGATCCATTGCAAAGATGTGTACAGAAATGTCCATAGATTCTTTAATGTACTCCAGACAGGAATACCAGTCTCTTAATATTAAGAATACTAAAATATACTTAGTTACTTATGTACTTCAAAAATGGATCGTCTTATGGAGCATTATAATAAAAATATAATATATATCTTTCATTTGTACAGTATCTTTCATACTGGCCATATCTCAAAAAGTTTCCTATTGTTATTTAACTTAACATTGTTATCTAAGATGTTTAGACTTAGAGGTAAGGGAGAAGAGAGCTCTGACTGGGATGTGTAGTAAAATGTGGAGTTAGTGTGATATAGAAAAGCTATTTTATGTGATAGCGCTCCTTCCCAACAAGGGTGATATTAGGTGCAGAGAGAAAGGGCAAGGCAAGCAATGAGCAGAAGAGGAGAAGGTAGTTTGGAAAGAGTCTTTTAAAAATTATGTCAAGGAGGATAATTTTGAATTGGACCCTGAGATACATTTCAGAATTGGGCAGCAGCATTTTCCAGATGTTTGGTAAACTGGAACTTGAGGAGGCCATGGAAAAAAGTAGTCAAAGTGACAGGAAACTGAAGACATATTTCTGAGTGAGGGAGGAAAAAAATGACCTCAGTTCTGGAATTTGAAAGTTAGAATTTATAACGGACAATGATCCTTCACCCACCTGCATATATTTTTAAATTATCTTTGTGTTGAAGTAATTACAAAAATAACAGTATTTTATAAGTATCATATACATGGTATAATTTAGACCGGTGTTTCTTAAACTGTGTTTCTTAAAGCGAGGCAGTCAGAGTTGTGCTGCAGAGAGAGCAGAATTCAAAATGGCCCCTTTTTTTGGGGGGAGGGAGTCTCAACAACTTCTCGGGAGGCTTTTTTTTTTTAATCAACAACTTTCCCTGGGGAATGGCCACCCTTAAAGGGGAAAGCCTCCTTTTTTTTTTTCTCTACTACTTTTCTGTGGGGGCTTTTTTTTTTTTTCCTCAACCAAAAAAAAAAACTTTCTTCATGTTCCCCATAAAAAAAAATTGTTTGGTGTTCCTTGGTCTTAAAAAGTTTAAGAAACACTGATTTAGACATTTCTACAAAGGCAATTTTTCCCAGCTACAAATCAATAACACAGTTTCTGTTTGTTTTTTAATTCTTGTTTGTTTTGATGGTTTCCCCCGCTCTCCTTGGTTCTGCCTTCTTCCCCTGTGTAGTTTTCCTGTCTCTAGCTGTCAGACCTTTCAAAGTCAGCTTAGTTTTGCCCCCAGTTTTGGTTTTTATGACTCTAGTTGTAAGTTTTGTGTCATGGAATTGACAGTATAAGGCAGAGCAAAAATAGTAGCCATAAGGGCAATGAAGATGCTGGACCTATGTAGATCAGGAGAGACAGGTGAAGTACAAAAATAACTACTTTTTCAGATTTATTATTCATGGTAGTTTTGTACAGTGTGTATAATTTTTAAATATTTGTTGAAATCACAGATCAGGAATAGAACTTACTGTAGATAATAAATATTGCAAAAACATAAGGGCATGATTCAGTTGTGCATTATTCCAGATTTACACTGATGAAATTTCAATGGCTTCAATAAAGTTATACCAGTAAAAATGTAAAGTAGTTCAGTAGACAATCAGGAACACTTCTCCCTCTTTTAGATCTTAAGAACTTTGCTTATCCATGGGCTCTGAAATCTTTAAATATGAGTTATTCCTTGCCAGCCAGTCCAGAAGAGTAGTGTCTTGAGAGCTCCTTCTTTCCTAAGATTATGCTCTGATTATTCCCAGTATAACAACAATCAAGAGCTTCCCCAAGGCATCAACCCTGCAGGATCTAAATTTGTTCATCAGTCACCCACCAAGAAGTGCACCTTTATTTCTATCTTCAACCAAGCCCTAGCTAAGCATAAGGTTGAACCTTCACTGATGAAGAAGAAAGAAGCCAAATTACTCCTAAACCATGGGTCTTGCTTATATGACATTTTGAAATTTTGGTTTCATAAGCTGTACCATTTTGATTGCCTATAACAAAACAAAATTGAAGAGATGTACCTGTAGCTCAACAGGATGATTGGAATGTAAGAGATTTGCCCATGATATAAAAACTAGTAATTTGCCATTCCATTTCTGTTTTGAAGCATAATTAATCTTAATTCAGAGCTTTGAAATAAGCTATTAATTATATTGTGTAAAACATCTGCCAATTAGTTCTCTCCCTTCTGTTTGCAAGTCAGTTGTTTTTGAGTTTTATTTTGCATTTACAGTTGTTTTCCTCTGTTTATTTTCTAAATTCATATCTGCAAGTTACTTGCATGTTAGTGTACTACCAAGAAAACAATGATTACCAACTACTTGAGAATTTTACACTGAAGAGAGTGATCTTTTGCAGAAATTCTCCACCAGGTATATAGGACCTCTTAGGGGCCATGAGCATGTTTCAGGGGGTCTGCCAAAATAAACCAGAGAAGGGCCAGTGTTAGGGCAGCCAAAGCCTGAACAACTTAACTTGCGGGCTGCTTGTGGGAGCATGGGACCCTGGGCACTTACACTGCTTGATACCCCTAATACTGGTCTGGGCTTTTAATCTGCTGTATGTCCTGAAAAAACATTTGTTGTGACACTAGTAGGCTGTGGAATTTTTGTAGTAAGTTGCAGGGCAGGCGGGCTCAGAAAGGTAAGTGTTGAGATGCCCTGGTTTAGTGGTCAGAGAAGGGAAATGAGAATTGAAATTCTTGGACTCCGTTTCTTGACTCTTCTGCTGATTAGTGAGTAACAATGGGAAAATCAGTCTCTCTTTATGCAGTTTTTACTTCTATAAAATTGGTATAAGTTAAACTTAATTCCAAAACTGGGTGGTGGTGAAATTTGACTAATGTCTCATTTCCTACAGTTCTAGCTAAATATTAGATGACTTTGTGGTTAAGGCACTGGTTTGGTCATCAGATCCCTGTTTGTATCCTGTCTCTGACAAAGACTTCCTCCATGGTGTGGGTGGTTTTTTTTTGTTTTGGTTTGGTTTTTTGTGTGCTGTGAACACAAGTATAACGCTAAAAGGGAATAATACTCCTTGCCTTAGAAGGTTGTTAGAGAGAAATTCAAAGATGTTTGTAAAGCACTCATATATTGAAATAAGGGAGATATCTTAGCAATTACCTAGGAAAACATGCTTTGCATATAGTTGTGAAGAATTCACGAATGAAAGGATTGATAGTTGAAAACTTATTAGAGATCTGTCCCCAGAGCTGTTGTTATACTTCAAAGGCAAAAGCACTGTGTAACACAGGGCCATCAGGGGACTCAAGTAGTCAGTCCCCCACTGACCCCAGGCTCCATGCAGTGCTGCCGCTTTGAAACGCCACTTGGAGCCCTGCGTCAGGCTCCACACGTGCCGAATGGAGCCCGGGGTCAGCAGGGTAGTCGCCAGCTGACACTGGGCTCCATGCAGCGCTGCCGCTTTGACGTACCCTCTCCTCTCCCCTCTCCCTCTTGCTGCCTCTTTCTGATAGATGCAGCAAGGCGGGAAAGCAACTAGTCGACTAGTGTCAACTAGTCGTTCACATCCCTAATGCTGTATCTGGTGAAAAGTTTCAGCCTATATACATATACTGAGGACAGCACTGACTTCATTTCACGTGGGCTGTTAATACCAGATGGGAAGAAGTTTCATGCTGATGAGGATGACCGTGTTATTTTCTCTTATGCCGAGTGTGTAAATTGTGAATATTTAATGCTGATTTTTTTATATATATAAAACTTTTTGCATATACAGGAAGATTTGTAGCCTGTCTTTTCTAATAATGTGGCACTGATAACATGGAATGTGAGAATAATTACACCAGCTTCAAAGTTTTTTGAGGGGATAATTTTAAATGACTTCAGATTACATTTTTAATAAAGATGAAATCTAAGAAACTGATAGCTTTAAAAAAAGAGAGAATCAATAATTTTCTGCAGGATACTACTCTGTTTAGTCTCTCATTTACCATTGGATATACAGTATTATTGAATGGCTTATATGGAGTATTAATGAAGAGAGCTGAGCCAACAGTCCACAGTGAATAATTTATATAAGAAATGAATGAATGAATAATTTCCGTGAATGATTTCCATCCTGTAGTCAGTCATAAGCAGCTTAAAGTTTAAGATACTTGAAATTCAAAATTCAATGTGTTGGTTAGATTTTATTGGACATATAGGTCACATAGTATTTTGTGCAGTGGTTTTCAACCTTTTTTTCTCATGACCCAGTTGAAGAAAATCATTGATGCTCACACACCAACATAATTTGACTGGAGTGTGGGCTCTGGGATGGAACTGAGGATGACAGCATTGGGGACGTAGGAAAGGATTCCAGCTTTTGAGAGTGGGTCATGAGTGGGGTAAACGGGGCTTACCTTGAGTGGCTCCTGATCAGCTGTGCAGTGGGGTTGTTAAGGCACCGCAGAAACAGCCAACAGCAGGTTCCCAGGCAATGGAAGTGTGGAATTAGTGCTCATGAGGAAGCCTCCTGGCTGGGAGTGGAGTCCACAGCGAAGTCTCCTCCCTTAGAGTTATGCAGGCAGCCCTTGCCTTCCTGGCTTCCAGAGTGTAAAAGACACAATTAACCAATAAAAAT